GGGGGGCAGTACACACATGCACCAGCAGAATGGTGGACGGGGGACCCAAGGGAAGTACGAAGTACACAGCTCACCACTGTCGTTAAACGTCGTAAACAAAATATGTGCGACCCCTAAATAAAGCATGCTGGTAAACCTGAAAAGGAAAAGAAACCGAGGGAGAAATCACTTGCGAAATAGTTCCCCTGAAATAGTCCGAAAAAAAAGCGAAATAGACCCGAAACGGGCGTAAATAGTCGGTGAAATATTCGCGAAATACCCCTGAAATTATCCGAAAAAGGCGAGACATGACCGAAATGGCAGAAGAAATACCACGAAACAGCCCGTACGCTACGAACCCATGTGATTTCCCATGTCATTCTCCGCTTGAAAGAAACAGGGGAGAAACAAAACGCAAAGCAGTATGCTGTAGCCCGTTTTCTTGTCTCGTCGCCTTCTCTTTAGCTTTACTGGAATGCCTTACTGACCCTGTTAAAGGTGTGTGTATCCTGAAACAAGCAGGCCCGCCCTTCCGCCAAACGCAGTTGCCAGCTCCACTTCGCTGCGCCGGCAACTCCGTTCGGCAGGGGCCGGGCCTGCTCGGCCTGCCGGCGGCGATGGTCGGAGTGATATACTCGTGATATACTGAAGAACACAATCAAATAGATAATGTGACCGGTACATCACTGGCATATTTGAGTAAACTAACTTCCGACGGGGCCTGCGGCCCTAGAGATTTGCTCCTTTCACATGACAAAAGACTGTAACGGGGCAACACCGTGACTACACCCCACCCTTCTGCTTTGCTTAAGAAAAATACAAAAAAAATGAACCAGCGCAGTTTTTAGATTGTATTGTTTGTCAAACAGTCTTAAAACTTGACTTTTTCCCATTGTTTTCAATATATCCACCTCTAGGGCCGAAACAGTGACAGATACGGCAAATCCGAGGGTAGGACCCGTTTCAGAATGTGTTGTTTTGGGGGGGTACTTCCCCTGACATTTTACGATTAGACGCCTCCTTGTACGTCTTTATGTGCAACGTGGTCCTTTTCGCCGTATTTTCGTCGAAAAATGCACCCTAGCACCCAAACGGTGCAAGATAGGGTCAAATGGACAAAATTTTCG